AATGATGAGGGCAATGAATGTACAAATGTGCTTTACACAATTGATGTATGTATGGATTGTGATAAGAGTTGTATGAGCCCCTAATAAAACGATTTAAAAAAAAGAAAGAAATCCTATGGATCGCATCAGAATACTGTCCAATGTCATGCTGGAAAATGAGCCTAACAATGATTGTGAAGATGGCACATGATTAAGCAACATTATATTGTATTTAGGGTTGCTATGAGTTGGGGGTGACAGAATGGCAACTAACAACAACAACATTAAAATATGTCTAGAGTTATTGCTACAACAACAGTAATTTTTTTAAATAAATGGTTACAGAAAATCAGTTATCTAACTTAAAGGCTTAATTAAAATTGTTCTTTAAATACTGGTTCAGTGGTGTGACCACCGAGTTGGTTCCTATTCCTATCAACTCAATGTCAATGTAGAAGTGCCTCCTAGGGTTTGCTAAATTGCAATCATTATTCAAGTAGATTACCAGGTGTTTTCTGCCATGAAGTGCCTAGGTAGATTTGAGCCAGGCACTTTTAGTTCCCCGCTATGTACTTAACCACTGCACCACCAGGTTTCCTCTAGGTGTATGTAGGTGTACACAGTATGTTATACTTCCCAAACTGTACCACTAATCATAAATTGGTCTTTAGAATCCACCAAGAGGTGCCTCCGAAGAAAGGCCTGGCAAACTGCTTCAGAAAGATCACACTTTATTAAAAACACAATAAAATACATTCTGTTCTGCAACACATGGGGTTGCTATGAGTCAGAATTAACTTACAGTAATTGGTTTTGTTTTTTTTTCTATTTCCCTATCATCGTATATAAATTTATTTATATTTACACATGCCTGTATCTAGACCTCAATAAATGCTCTTTGCCTCCTAGTTCTTTCCTCTATTCCCTTTTACTTTCCTCTTGTCCCACTATCATGTTCAGCCTTCATTTGGGTTTCAGTAATTCCTCTTGGTTACTTTGCCCTTGATCAAGCCCTACAGGCCTCCTACACCCTCCTCGTCATTGATTTTGGATCCAGTAATTGGTTTTGTATTTGATTTTAATATGCTCAATCTGGAAAAAGTATAGCCAGAATGCTCCATAGAGGCAAGCATGGCGAGACTTCATCTCACATATTCATGATGTTAGGTGAGTCCAGTCCCTGGAGAAGGACATCATGGTTGGTAGAGGGGCAGTGAAAAAGAGGAAGACCTTTGGCAAGAGATATGGACTCGGTATCTGCAACAATGGGCTCAAACATAAGAACAATTGCAAGGAAGGTGCAGGACTGGGCAGTGTTTCATTCTGTTGTATACAGGGTCACTGTGAGTTAGAACCGACTCACTGGCAGCTAACAAGAACATCAATTTATTGTATGTGCCACTTTATATTTCAATGAAGCCATTTTAAGCAATAATGTGAGAGGTAGTGACTGTTTCTCAAGTGATGGTTGATCATTCCAGAAATACATGAAAGGAAGAATAAGTTATTGAGCCATAAAACAGGTAGATGTATTTTTCTGATCTCAATTGTAGTGGTTTAACTTGAGGGAAATAACATCATATTTCACTTCCTGCGTTTCCTCATTCCTCTCACAAGTTTGATAATATAGCTATGATTTGTGAACACTGAAACTAAAGACTGCCATTGAGTCCATTTGACTCATAGCGACCCTATAACCAGAGTAGAACTGCCACTGCGGGTTTCCATCTTTTTCCCATGGAGTGCTGGGGTTTTGAACTACTGACCTTGCTGTTAGCAGCCCAAAGCATAACACATTAAGCCACCAAGGCTCCTCTTGAACTTGAAGGGCACACTAAAGACAAGGGAGAAAGACAAGGCTTTCTACTCCCATAAATAGTCTCAATGGCCCCATGTGGAGTACCCAAACCTGAGAGCTGTTGGTGTCCTTCAAAATGTCCACTGACCTTGGATCCACATGACTTGCACCCACTGGTCAGTGATCTTTCTGCTTCCCAGCTGAAGGTGGACTTATGGACTAGCATTGAGTTTATGGACTAGATTGGTCTGGGCTGAGATACCTTCTTGATATATTAATTACTTCTTGATATAAACCTCTTTTTTTATACATAGAAGGGGGGGAAATGTTAATCTCAGAAACCCACAGTTGCAATTGCACTCTGTCCTATCGTGTCACTATGAGTCAGAATCGACTTAATGGCAGTGAGTTTTGGACTAAAGAAGGGGGAAAAAACCCTCCAGGATTGTCAAGGTATAGAATTGTTCTCCATGAGTGATTCTGGAAGCATGAAGGACCTTACCTTACGGGTACTGAAAGCCTGTCACATGGGGGTCATGAATCCTAGACCAGCTAGCCTAGCAATTTCATTAGTATTACTAATGAGTATAGTATTACTCTGAAAAAGAAGAAAAGAAGACTGATATACAAAGGGGTACCGCCCCCCTCCAAAAAAAACACACTGGAATTGTGCTGGGCAGAGTGGAGCTTTCATAGTTCACATTATTCCCACTAAGTGAGCATTGAGCAACTCACTCTGATTTAGTGCACCAGTGGTGTCGCGTGGGAAGGTTCTCTCTGGTCACAGTGAATTTTTTCATAAAAGCAGTTTTGTTCAAACTGGTTTTTTGTGATGACCAATTTTAGAGAAAAGTGTGTGACTGTGAAATTTTGTTTCCTGCTCAGGAAAAATGCCTCAGAAACTGTTGTGATGTTGAACACAGCTTACAAGGACAGCGCTATGGGGAAAACTCAAGTGTCCAAGTGATTTTCTCATTTCAAAAAAGGTGAAATGTCGATTGATGACAAACCTCGTTCTGGATGTCTGTCAACTTCCCAAAGAGACGAAAATGTCGACCTATAGTGCATTTGGAGTTAAGCAAGCTTTTTACTTTGAGGTTCTGAAAAGATTGTGTGCAACAATAAAATGCCTGATTTGTGGCAAACAGGAACTGGTTTTGCCACCATGACAGTGCACCTGCTCATGCAGCCATTGCAGTACACCCGTTTTTGGCAAAGAACCCAACATGCCTCTCTTGCCCCACGCACCTAACTCACCTGACCTTGCTCCGTGCAACTTCTTTTTGTTTCCTCGAAGAGGGACATGAAAGGCAGTGATTTGAAGACATAGAAGAGGTGAAGAAAAAAGCAAGGGGGGTGCTGTCAGCCATCCAAACAGATGAGTTTGAAAAATGTTTCCAAGAATGGAATCACTGAAATAAATATGACAAGTTATTAAGAATGAGTAGTAAAAGGAATGAAATTGCAGATTTAACAATTGTATTCCGTGTAATGGAGAGTACTTTGAAGGTGATAAGGTTGTTTTGTTAAAAAAAAAAATTAAATACATAGCTCTGAAAAAATGCGGGTATTTGGGGTGGGGTGGGGGTGGTACGCCCTCTTACAGTAAAAACACACACACACCAAAAGACATGGAGAAGTTAAAAACCAAATTCATAAGTTTAAAATTTTAAGGTTACTATAGATAGAGGTCTGGGAACATCGGAGATGGATAGGAAGAATTTAAGATGGCGGCTAGATGTGCATATACCATGTACTAAAATTGAACAACACATGCAATGGGCATGCACGGAGATACAGGCTGAACAGCAGGGGGAAACTGGGCATGCGTGCAGAATAGCCTCATAAATGTGGAGCAACCAATCCCAGTAGAGGGCGGGCCCAAACTGAACAGCCGGAAAGCTTGTTTCCACCCCACCGGGACTAGACTTCCACTTCCCTGAAGCGTGAACTCGTAGGCCCCACTTTTGACTGAGCCCTCCCCCCGCCCCATCTCCTGGATTCTGATTGGCCAGCTCAAGTTCTCCCACTGCCCTGATTGGCTGGCTTCATCAAACCGCATGGGCCTGGAGCATCACTTCGCAGCTGATTTGACTCTGTGGTAAACGGAGGTAAGTTCGCTCTAAGAGCCGGCCATGGTTTTCCTCAATGTCTCTGGCATTTTCCAGACCCTTAGAGTGGAGAGATGCCTACATTGTGTGTGTGTGTGGGGGGGGGGGGGGGGTGAAAAGCCCCAAACCACGTTGTCCTCAAGTGGACGACATAACTAAATAGGCCAGGGAAGAATTTCTGGGGGCCTGGGTTGGTGGGGCGGGATCCGAAGCTGACTTTCAGGCAAAACTATAGCCCAGCGCGGAGTCCCTACACCCCGAGGACTCCAGCTTCGCTCCGTAGACCCCACTAAGGACTCTTTCCGAGCGTATCGGGGAGTCTCTTAGGAAGAGGCTGTTCAGCCTAATCTGTGGTCTCTTCTGAAGAGACCACTTTACTTCCTTCTGGGGATGACGCAGAAGGAAATCTTGGCCGAGAACCGTTCTTCCACTAATCCTAATTTAACTCTACCAGCACTCAAAAAAATCTCCCCAAACTCACTCTTAGCCACCCTGTGGGGCTGGATAGAACCTTCCCCCCCTCACCCTATGAGTTTATAGACATTGCCATTCTTTTTCGGAGCAGAAAGCCCCATTTTTATCCCACAAAGTGGCTGGTGGTTTGGAACTGCGGACCTTACAGATCAGCCACGCCAACGCATTGCCACCATGTCACCAGGGCTCCTAACACTTTCGAACAGACCCCTCGATGTTGCCAGTTTGAGGCGCTCCAGATGGCTGTGCCTTGAAAACCTCCCCTGAAGTCTTTGACTCCCAATGTGGCTACTTCTGTGGTATCAGCGATTCGAGTACTCTTTACTTCCTTTGTGGCTTCTCCCAAAAGGGATTTTATATTCTGGGCTTTTTGTATGATAAGCTAAATTCCAGGGGAATTTGCTAACAACTACCTCCCACTCCCCACCCTGTGCCACCCCACCACACACACACACCACACACTGCGCATCCTTGTGCCCCCCCACACCTCCCCACCTCCATGCCCACTCTCCTCCACATCACAGCCCCATGAGAAAATTCTAAAATATCCCAAAAAGAAAGTTCCTTCTTTTAATAATAAGTAGTTGCTAGATGTATCATTTATTCAGTATTGTTATTATTATTATCGGACTTTCGGACAGATGAAGCCAGGATGAAGAAAAGCGGAACCTTAATTGCCGGTGGCTCACTGAACTCTGACTTTCCTGTGATGCTTTCTCTCTCCACAGAAACGTTGGTCTTGTGGTCAGAGAGATTTGTTTTCAAGTCCTGACACATTACTAGCACCATGAATGGCGGCAGACCGAAAAGAGAGAAGGAAGGCAAGGTGAGGTGACCTGGAAGAGTGGCTCAGGGGACAGGGGGCAAACCGAAATTCCAAACGCATGGCCATTGACTCCGTTCCAACTCATCGTGACCCTATAGGACAGGATCGAATTGTCCCTGTGGGTTTCAGAGACTTAACTCTTCACGTGAGGGGAAAGCCTCATCTTTTGGGTGATGGCTTCGAACTGCCAACCTTGCTGTGTTGGCAGAATGACTGAATTTCTCAGGCGAGGTCCAAGTTATTGAGGAGAAGAAGCAGGGGTGAACCTTAAGAGTTTCCCAACCTCTGTTCTCTCCTGAAAGAATAGAGAAGCCTTTCCTGCTTCCCTTGGGACTATTGGCACCACATTTGACGACTCTCATTCCATTCTGGGAAACAGGAGGAGAGCAAGTCAGTGTGTTTTAAGCACTTAGTGGGTGCCAGGACATGCTAGGAAATGTCACCTGTGTTCTCTCAGGTAGTCGTGTCAGCAACCAGGAGAGCTGGGGGGATTATTCCCCGCAGTTCACAGATCCAGCAAAAATCCTGCAAGAGAGAACAAGGTCTTGGCTGAAGGTCCGAAGTGTTTCCCCAAGTTAATCTTTTCTTTCTTCTCTAGGCCTTCAATGATATTTCCAAATACTTCACCAAGGAAGAATGGGCAGGCATGACATCCAGCAAGAAAACCACCTATGTGTATATGAAGAGAAACTATGATACCATGACTAAGCTAGGTAACATGAAGCTTCGGGTACAGAACATGTGAACATCCTTCGGTCCTTTTACATGCTATGATGTCTTCTTGGGCTGCAGAAAGTGCCTCCATACTGTTCCTTTTGTGCTGGGAGAAATCCCAACACAATTTAAGGGTGTTCTGCTCCTGTATATACTTTGCAGCTCCAGGGGCACAGATGGCCAAGGATGCTCCGACCTAGATCCTGCACATTTCTCTCCATTGGCTCCACTTGACTGATGAGCCTTCCCATCATCTCACCCTTTATTGCTTCTCTCACAAATATTTTGCTTCTTTCTAGGTCTCAAGGCTGTGTGCCCGTCTTTCATGAAGCAGGTTAGAAAGGATAACTCTAACAATGACAACTATGTGGACACTGAAGGTGAGTGGGAAAAAAGACGTGGAAAAGATCTCCCGAAACTGAACAGCTTTTATGTCCGGCTGCTTCGGAAAGATTCTCCGGACTCTGTTCCATCAACAACATGTTGACAAAAAAGTTAGACCCAGATCTTTAAGACCAGTAAGAAGTCATTTATATGAAATTCTAAAGCATGCTAAACAAGAACATCTATTTCATGGGAACTGAGTGATAATAAATATTTTTCAACTTAAATAGTAATGAAAACCCATCAAATTCTAGAGAGTAACTAAGTGGAGAGGGAGGAAGGGCATGCAAATTCATCTGTGACTTGTTTGTTGTGGTTTTTTTTAAATACATATTTTTAATAAAGAGACATGTAGCCCTTGTGGGCTAATGTTGACATTCTACTGGACTCAATATTAGTTGCTCACATGTTTCTGATATTTTTCTCCGTAGTTTTCTGTGTGTTTAAAATATTTATTTTTATAGGATGTATAGTTTTTGCTAAAAGACATACTCACAGCTTTCGACTTGATTCTGATTCATGGTGACCCTATAAGACAAAGTAGAACTGAACTACCCCTGTGAGTTTCTCAATCTGCAAGTCTTTATGAGAATAGAAAGCCGCATCTTTCTACCATGGTGGTTTCAAATTGCGGTCCAAAGTGGAACCCACCAAGGCTTTGTTAATAAATAAAAGAACAATTAAAATTTTAATTAAAGTGTAAATCCATCCAAAACTTCTAAATTCAATTGCCTAACAGCTGAGAGGTATTGAATAAATATTTAAAGAAAGAAATTGATTGTGTTATGTATGCTATCTGTTTCCCTGTATTTGAAAAGAAGAGTAGTCTCCTCACCCCTGATCAACCTGATTCTCTGTTTAAATTGGAAGATTTTGAGAAAGTGGTTTACACACACAAATAGTTTTCTCACTTGTCATGAAGCAGAGACAATATAGGGTGAAAAAAGTAACAGATTGTAGACAAGAAGTATTTATATATTTAATTTTTTTTTTCATTTAAAAATGTGTTTATTTTATCCCAACAGTTTTTTAAAATTATTTTTTAATCGATTTATTGGGGCTCATACAATTCATTACAATACATAGATCAATTGTGTAAAGCACATCCATACATTTGTTGCCCTCATCATTCCCAAAATTCGCTAGCCTCTTGGGTTCCCGGAACCCGCTAATTTTCCATTTCCCCCCCTCCCCTTCCCTTCCTCCTCCCCTCTCCCCCATGCACCCTTAATAATTTATAAATTATTATTGTATCTTATATTACACTGTCCGGCGTCTCCCTTCACCCACCCCTCCGCTGCCCGTCCCCCAGAGAGGAGGCCACACGTAGTTCCCTGTGATCCATTCCCCAATTAAGTGTGTAATAATTATAAAGGAGGCATGATGTGCTAACTTCCTCTTCTGCTCCAACAACACCCTTGTAAGCTCTAAATGCCCAAACTGTCTCCAGTAGACCCATGATTCCCTAACTCTATGTGCCAGATTCCAGTCTCCCAAAATTATCATAAGAGGTCTGAAGAGCCAGTGTTTGAGTAGCTACAAAATCCATGAGTCATCACACATGGAACAGCTTTATTAAGATACAGGGTTGCTATGAGTCAGAAATCAACTTGAAGGCTTAGGGTTATTGAGATATAATGTACATACCATACAATTCACCCATTTTAATGTTCTGTGATTTTCAGATGTCACACATCCTTAAGTGGATACAGTTCAAATTTCCAATCAATTTAATTCTTCAGAAACTACTAAGAGATACATAATGGCATAAGTTGCCCCTACCATCAGGTTGACTCAGATTCATAGCGACCCTTATAGGCTTTCTGAGGCTGTGAGTCTTTATAGATAGCCTCATCTTTCTCCCACAGAGCCACTGGTGGGTTTGACCGCCAGCCTTTCAGTTAGCACTGTCCAATGCTTACAGTACAGTGCTATGAGACAATAGTGCGGTGCTTAGACTTTATAAACCATCATAAAATTATCAATTAATGTCACAAATACGTAAAGCACTACTAAAGATAACGCAGAGGCCAGTCTCAAATTAACTCCATGACAATGAGTGGACTCATAACCCCCTACTTCGCAGTTCCCTGGTGGTACATGAATCTCTCTAGAGTTTGAAAATATTTACCAATCAAGAACAATTCTGTTTCAACATTCCTTTTTAGATGAACATTCTAAGATGGATTTCAATGTCCAACCGAGCAAAAAGCTGAAGGTGAGTATCTTCCTCCTTGTTCTAGAGGGCCAGAGAACCTTTCTCCCTCCGTGGATAGAATATTGGTAAGAGTGGGGGAATGTGTAAAATACTCTTATTTCCTTTTACTTTCCTCCTGTCTCGCTACTATATTTGAGCTTCATTCAGCTCTCTTTCCTTCCTCTCACCTACTTTGCACTTGATCAAAACCCACCAAGTATTCTATGCCCTCCTCGCCATCAATTTTAGATTTCTTCTTATTCCCTTGTCCCGGGGTTTGTTGGCTCTCCCATACTTTTCCCTCACCTCCTCCTCTCCCCTGTACCCTCGGAACCATTGGTCCCGTTGTTTTCTCCTTGAGATTGTTTATCCTGTCTATGTCATATAGATAGACATGGGAGAAAAAAAGAAAGAAAAAAATAACCTATGAATAGTTCCAGGTCTGCCTGCAGACCCTTATGAATGTTTTCTGGTCAGGTCTGAAAGAATTAGGAGGCAAAAGACATTTATAGAAGTCTAAACATAGGCATGTACATATTTAAATATTCATATATAAAGATAGGTATAGTTCTATGTACATATAGTTATAGGTTAACTATCAAGGTAACAAGCAGACATTGTGCCTCTACTCAAGTCCTCCCTCAACACAAGAGCACTTTGTTCTAATAACCCGGCATTCTGTGATGCTCACCCTTCCCACACGATCGCTGAAGACAAAATGGGTGCATAAGTTAATGTGGTGAAGAAAGCTGATGGCTTGGGGGATGGGGGAGGGGGACAAAAGTGCACATGATTCTAGGTCTGTCTGCTGCCCTTTATGACTATCTCCCCACTGGTCCTGGGGGGTTCCGGGAACTGCCCCTCCTAGCCTAAAGTCTATTTTGGGGGCTTCTCAGGGGTTTGTGGCTTGGCTTTGCTCCCGTTGTTAATCTGTTATGTTCCCTTCTTGGTTCGCTCCATTGTGGAGTGGTGTGACCGGACTCACTTCCCGCCAGGTGTCCCCAGTATTGTCCTCTGTCGTGGTAGGCTCCAGGGAGGGAACAACATGCCTTAAGCTGTTGTAGGCTCTACAGGCCTCTCTGTGCCTTAGCAGCTACATGCAGGGCTGTCAGAGGATGTTATTTTTTATAAATAATTAGGATGAGGACTTTTTTTTATCCCGCCCAATCCATTGTCATTGAATTGATTCCAACTCCTAGCCGTCACATGTGTGCTACAGAATAAAATTACCCCCATAAGGGTTTCTTGGTGGTAATCTTTATGGTAAGAACTTGCCATATGGTAAGAACTACTGGGTAGGTGCAAACCACCAATTTTTCAATTAGTAGTCAAGTGCAAATCATTTGTTCCATGGAAGGACAGAGGTGTTCAACAAGTTATCTGAAATCAGTGTCTGGGCCAGTGGCCTGATCCAAAAAGCCCAAACTATTTCAAAGTTCATTATAATTTTCAAGGTCTGACCTTGCCCACCCACACAGCTTTAATAATCTTTTTTCATTAAAATATTACAAAGTCCTGCTGATGCAGCCTCTTAGATCCCCACTCACAACAGGAAGGAGCAGCTCCCCTCTGCTCTGCTGCAGACGCATTCTCAGATGGCTGGGAAATTATTGCTGGGATAGATGGTCCCTTCCTTACTATAAGCACTTTGGGAGCTTTGTCTGTACCCGATGCCCCTCTGAAAGCGCAGCTCCCAGAGACCCGAGGCACTTCGTGTTTAGTGAATGAGTTGCTCTACAATTGCAGATTGAGCTCTCTTTATGAGGGCAAAGGGAGCTGAGAAGATAGCAGTGAGCTGGATTTCCGCTATGAGGAGTGAGCGAAAAAAGGATCCAAAATAGTCCTTTTTATTGTTCCCACATTTAACTGGTGTTTACAAGCTCCAAAAGTACTTTCACCTTTTTTTTTACTGTTAATGCACACCATTTCATAAAAGAGAAAGCTGAATGGAAAGGAAGTTTAAGATCATTAGTCACAGAATTGGTACTGGAACCACCTCACCTGACCCCCCAAATAAAATAAAACCCATTGCTATAGAGTTGGTTGCAACTCCTAACTCTTTACAGGAGCATACAGCCTCATCTTGCTCGCACCAAGTGGCTGATGGGTTTGAATGGCCCGGGCAGGGAGCAGCCCAGCATCTCTACCACAGCATTTTTCATAAGCATTTCTCCTGTACATTTTTACATTTACTCCCAGCTGATGTCGACTTATAGCTTATCTATGGCTCCCTGCAGCTTATAGAAGCCCGTAGATCTTCCTTTGACAGGCCTTTTGGATTCTTAGAATGCCATTCTGTCTTGCTTACATGGAGACGGTTGGTTTTTTGAGAGTGTTATCAATCTAGACAGATCATGAAAATAAGGGTTCTGGGCCTGAAAACACAGCTCACTTAGGCAATTCTATTCCTTGTGAGCTGTCAGGGTCCTTATGATTTAGGTTTCGATAATGTCTCAGCGTTGTTGAAAACATTAGTTAAAGACACTTCCAAGCCCTATAGTATTAGAGAAATGCCATTGACACTGTTTATATGTGACCCTCATGTTGAGGAGGTATCAAAGGATGAAAATGAAGCGTCCCAAACAGCAGTCTTGATGGAAGCAACTGGCTCACGTTACCCAACAAGGGCCTCTCGTCAGCAGAATAAACCAGGTAAGAAAAGGACCGCAGGGAACAAGTCCCTCTGCCTTCCATAGGTATGTTCAAGTGTGTGTTTGGGTGTGTGGAATGGACCTTAGAAAGGCTTAGCTCCAAGTTTGACTTAGGAGATCTTCCAGGTCATGCAGAAACATTAGAACATGACTTCCAGAATCACAGATTTGGAATTATTAATCATAAAAAATATGTAAATTTGGGAAAGCCTTCTGAATCCTCTGAGCTCCAGATTCCTAATCCATAAAAGGGAAATTAAAAAATCATCATCCATTAGTTATTTGAAAGCATTAGATTAAATGAAGAAGGCCTGGCCACACGAAAGATGCTCTAGTAGACAGCCAAGAACATAGTTTACTCAGGGTTGTAACTCCCACCCAATGCTTGTTACACAATACGCCCTTAACAAGGAAATCTCTGCCAAGTGGAAGAATATACGGGAGCATGCGCTGGTAAATAGAGAGATTGGAGATCTAAACCTGAAAATGGAAGGAGCCAGAAGCTAAAGTTTTTAATTAGCATTTAGTCTCAATTAGTGTTGGCCTAGCATCTAAGCCTCCTGGAATAGAATAAATGGGAAGCTATCGACATACAGGGCCTGCGAGCACTTGGAAAGGAGGAGGCATCTATTTTTCTTACAAAACAGGGATTAACACTTTGTCCCCCATCCACCAATTCTTCTTCACCACAGTACTCAAGGAAAAGGAGACTAACATCCAGACATATGCGCTTCGTGAAAGAAAGGGGCATGTGGTTTACGAAGAGCCCAGCGACACTGAGGAGGACGAAGACGACGACGATCTCTGTAAGTGACCCTTCAGTCTGTTCCCACACCCTTGTAAAATGCACCGTTCTAATCCATCAACAGATAATGAGATTTTTTTACAAGTAGTCTATACATACAACGGAAGGTTATGCAGCCATAAAGAGAAATATAGGCCCAGTACATGTCACTGCTTGGAAGAACGTAGAAAACACTATCCTCAATGAAATAAGTCAGTCTCAAGAGGACAAATACGATTTGAAATAAGTCAGTCTCAAGAGGACAAATACGATTTGAAATAAGTCAGTCTCAAGAGGACAAATACGATTTATATGAAATAAACAAATAGGTTAGAAATCAATTAGTGGTTTCCAGGAATAAAAGGGAATGCAAATGGGGGAGTTGGGGGCTTAAGGGACATTGAATTTATCTGAATGGTGGTTATATGATTTGGAAAAGGTTACATAACATGAAGGATATAATCAATGTCACCAAATTATCCAAAGGGGAATTGTTACACTAATGAAAGTCTTGTATATATTTTCACCATATATATTTTTTTAATATCAGGGCACTGCTATCCCATCATGCCACTTGTTCCCTAAATCATCCCTTTCTCCTAGGCCCTCAAGGTGCAGAAGTGAGGCTAAATGATGAAAACGTCCCTGTTATTTCTACTTCATGCTCTATATATCCTGGTATCTTTCCTCCTCGGGATGCTGTGGGCCTCCAAACCCCAGGGCAAATCCTGATGCGTAGGCCTAGGGATTCAAATGACAGATAAGAGAGAGAGTGTGGCATTAGCAGATTTGCTTTGAGGAAGAGAAGGAGGTGTGTGTAGGTCATGAGTTAAGACAGAATCAAAATATGCAGGACCTTACAGGTCAGGTTGAAGAGTTCATTATGGATCGATCGGATAGCAATAACTCACTGTCAATTATTTTCCTTCCTTTATCTCATCCTCAGATATATGACATGGGCTCATGATGTGGAGCAGAACTTGGTGGCCTTTCAAGCATATCAGCATATTTTCCTCTGTATTCGCTGTGTCATCAAGTAGCCTGACTGCTGAATGTATAGCAGTGGGGGAAAGTTCATAGCACTTATTTTCTTACTGTGTTGCAAGCACTTTGTTAGATATTAATGTTTCATTGATGTACAAATCATAAAGCATAGTTTTTTGGATGTCTTTAAGTATCTGCGTTAGAAAACGAGAATAGCACTACTTCTTTCCTCACATGTGTGATTACTAAGGGACGTTCTGGGCATCTGATTCCAGACGTTTTCCTCTGCACTTAAATACACACGTGAGATAGCCCTCGAAGCATCTCACACCAACCTGTCCTCAGTACCAGTGTGTCCTGGAGAGGTCTCTCTCATTTTGTCACAGTTACTGACAATAAACATGTATGTTCTTTTGAGAGCTTGTTTTACTCCTCTCTTTCTTGTGCAGATGGCTCTGGGTACATGTATAAAGATGCATTCTTAGATTCCAGGTAGTGGAATTCCTGTGTCAAAGGGGCCATTCATTCAACAAAGACCTAATGAGCATGTAGCGCTGTCCCGGGTGCTGGAGAGGCATCAGGGAACAAGGCAGACAAATGTTCCCAACCACACTGACTTGTTGTTCTAATGGAAGATTTTTCCAGATTTGATTTAGACAAATCCTGTACACCCAATCCTAGAGCTGGGATTCTGTGGTGGGTAGTTGGATACCTCCGGGTTTGCTCTTGGAAAGATATTCAATGTCAGATGCTGGGCTGGTCCATTTGGGAGTGTGTGGGAGGAGAGAGGGATGAAACCTGTGGGGTATCAGGGAACTAGGGAGGAGAGGTCTGCTCCGGGGCATGAGGCGGAGGAGAAGAGTCCACTTAGCTGCAAGGAAAAAGCATAAAAGATGGAATAATCCATTAGGCAAAGGTATAAAACTGCCGAGTGAGTATTCCACATGCTTAGGAAGTTGGAGTCTGGAGTGGAGATGTAGAGTCAGGGATGGACCAATTTTCTCACATGGAAATGAGACAGCTTTTGGGAAGGAAAGATGTGAGTATTTGAACACAAGCCATTATGTGTGTTGGAAACACAAAGACTGCCCCACTTTGCACTAGCACAACTCCCAGCCCCAGGAGGCAGGATCGGCACTGCTGTTACTGTTCTAGAACCATCACCTAGGTCTTCAGCTCCCAGCCAGACATAGAAGGTCCCCATCCTCCTACTGAGGCCTCCGTCTTCCTTGCACCTGTCTTCGTCCCACCTCTAGGCCCGTGCTTGGCATCCTCCAAAGGTAGAAAGAACTATGAAGGGGGGGATTGTTAGCTCTAGAAGACGAAGTATGGAAATCGAATCTCTCGTTGGTATCTGATTGGTCACTGATTCCAGGCTGGGGCCAGGAGAATTGCTAGTCTCTGTCTCTGTCTCTGTCTCTGTCTCTCTCTCTCTCTCACACACACACACACACACACACACACACCCTGTGACAGCTGCAGGAGTGCAGCCCTGGGCAGTGGAGGACAAAGCCTGGTGGGTGTGGTGCGAACAGCCACATGATCCCTCTGGCCATGTTCTCCTGGCACAGCTTGCTTCGCATGCGTCTCCCCGCCCTACAGTCAACTCTGGGGAGCTGCATAGCGAGGGCATCCTCATTTATCTGAGTCCTTGCCTGCTCCTCTGAGAAGAAGAATGTCTTGTCACTCACCATCACCTGACCATCTACAGGCCAGGAACAACATCCACAGGAATTAAGGGAAGCTTGTCTGGTTCCCTGGATCTGCCTGCTCTCCCTCAAACTCGCTGTTATCGAGTTAATTCGACTCATAATGATCCACAGGACAGGGTAAAACTGCCCCCTGTGGGTGTCTGAGACTAGCTTTTTTTAACATTCTAAGTTTTTATTGCTTTAAAATATGCTAAAATTTGGGACCAATGAGAGACAGCAGAATCACTCCACATTCCTCAGGAGAAAGACGGGGCTTTCTACTCCAGTAAAGAGTTACAGCCTCAGAAACTCAGAGGGCAGTTCTACTCAGTCCTACGGGGCTGGTGTGAGTCAGCATCAATTCGATGGCAGTGAATTTGATTTGGGAATGTTCTTTTCCCTAAGGGGAGCTCTGCTGGCAGAGCTATTACACGTTAGGCCACTAACCTCAAGGCCAGCACTTAGAAACGAACAGCCATCCCTGGGAGAAGGATGGTGTTTTCTACTCCTCTGAAGAGATACAGTCTCCCTTGACTCTGGCTGGAGGCATGAACCGGCTTCAGAAGAAACTTGCCTCCAATATCCTCTGCTGTGGCAAGAAAAAGTTCTGGTTGGACCTCAATGAGACTAATGAAGCCACCAATGCCAAGTCCCATCAGCAAATCTAGAAACTGATCAAAGATGGCCATGCCCGCTTGTGGCTGCCTTTAGATATTGTTCAGAAATAGTCTAGCTACCCGTGACTGTCCATTCTCAGGCTGATGCTGGAAAAACACTTTAGCCTTAGGAAGGGCAGACATGTGGACATAGGTAAGATACAGGGTACTGCCAATGTTCAGTGCCCTAGAAGGTGAGGAGGATGCAGATTCTGTGCCAGCTTCTCAGAAGATACCAGGAATCTAGGAAGATTGACTGCCACATGTATCACAGCCTGTACCTGTGAAGGGGAACATGCTTAAGAACATGTGAATTCTCGTGAAACACATCCCCTAGCTGAGAAGACAGATAAGACCTGTCTAAGCCCGCAGGTCTAAGACCAAAGAAGCACGCAAGCACCATGACGAGCGACTCCAGGCCAACAAAGAAGAAACTCTGTCCAATGAGGAAGTGACCAAGAAACAAAGCTCCGCCTCTCTTCTCAGGATGAAGTGGCCTCGGCAGTTACATTGATCAGTCGTTCAATAGAGCAAGCCTTGTCAGCCTGCCCCTTGATTATTTTTTAAAAGAGTTACATTACAGTCTTGGGAACTCACAAGGGCAGTTCTACCCTGTCCTTCTTGGAGCTCGGATAGCAAAGTGGGTTACCTATTGAACTGCTAAGCATGATGTCAGCAATTTGAACCCACCAGCTGCTCCATGGGATAAAGATGAGGCTGTGTGCTCCTATAAAAATTTCAAGTCTCAGAAACCTACTCTGTCCTATAGGACCACCATGAGTCAGAATCAACTCCATGGTAGTGAGTTTGGTTTTGTTGGGGGGGTCAGGGGGACATTTGGCAATGTCTGAAGACATTTTTAGTTGTTAGAACTGGGGAGGAGGAAGGTGTTAATGGCATTTAGTGGGTACAGGCCAGGGATGCCTCGAGGCAGGCTAGAATGCAAGGGTATACCCTGAAACAAGGAATGAGCCTGTCCCAAATGTCAACAGTGGGGAAGTTTGTGAAAAACCCTGGCTAAAGGAACGGTATGGAAGTAGAGAGGGACTATCTGGGTGCAGGTAGACAAGCAGGAGAGTGATACCATTTCCAAGTTAGGCAACTTAGCACAGGCACACCCGGTAAGTTCTGACCGGGTTGAAAGCTCTGTGAGGAAGGCTGAAGAGAAAAGTGGCTTCCTGTCATCACCTCGGGGGAGAAAATTGACAGTGCCTGGGTTCTCTTGTCCCCACTACTGTTAGGGCCACCTCAGCTCCAGCGTGGAGGTCTGTTTCTCAGCTGTGTGTCTTGTCTTGTAGTCAATCAGTCCAACCTTGTGCCTGCATCACCTTCTGTCAGTGAATATGGCACCAAAATATGATGGGCTGCCCTGAAAGCAAGTCCTCTCACTTTATCCTGTATGATGCTCTTTGCATACTTATGTAAAACTTAGAATCTACTGCTCAATGTCCATGGTTTTAAAAGTTCCTTACTAGGGTTCTATCTGGAATTCTATTGTATTCATAGATCAGTTGGGGAGAAATGGCACCTTTACGCTGGCATCTTCCTATCTAAAAATATTTTTCACTTTAAAGTATTTTTTTACATCTTCTTGTGCATTGTTCAATTTACTGCATACACAGTTTTCAGGTTTTAGATTTCTTTCTCAGTGCCTGTTGTTCATGGAGGAGTCCCTGATCATGGCAGTTTAGTACTCAACTACTAACTGAAAGGTTGGTTTTTCAAATCCACTGAGATATGCCACGGAAGAAAGACCTGCCAGTCTGTTCCCCAAAGGTCTTGGAAACCTTTTAGACTGCAGTTTTACTCTGCAATCCATGGAGTCCCCATGAGTCAGAGTCGATGGCAGTGGACTTTTGGGTTCAGTTGTTATTATCTCTGTCTCTGACCTATGAGGGCAGTGGGGACTCAAGACACATAGGAACACGGAGTTCTTGCTCCTCTCTTGTTCACACCTGAAGTAATTGTAAAAGGAGACGATGCTTCTACCCCACCATTGAAGACAGAAGATTTGAGGTATGCTTCTGAGGACTGACAGCACCACACTGAAAGGCAGCCGACCACATTGTAGAATAAATGATCATGGGGCAACCACAGTCTTCATAATATTTCCACATTTGATGAAGTCTTGACTTTAGAAATAAGAAAAGTGTTGGGTGATGGACAGAAGCCAAAAGGGAAGGCTGAGAGACAGGAAACAACAGGGGTTCCAAAGCATTGCCTCGACTCAGCCCAGTTCACTTTATTTTATTGATTCTATTAACATTTAGCCTTCCTTAGGGAGACGCATGTGCTTATAGGAACAATTTTTGAGGCAGTGAGATAGGCCAATGATGCTTTGGGCAATATTTCATATACTTTACAGTTTTATTTAAAGATTGTAGTCATAAAATACATAGCCACCACCCATCTGTCAGTTTGCTGAATTGTGGTGGTTTGCATGTTACTGTGATACTGGAAGCTGTGCCACTAGTAATTCAAATGCCAGCAGGGTCAACCATGATGAATTGGTCTCAGAGCTACTTTCAGATTAAGATTAGGAAGAAAGGCCTGGCTATCTACTAGCAGAAATTATTAAAATTCTCTGGCTCACAGCAGAACAATGTCCAGTATAGTGCTGGCAGAGAAACTCTTTGGTTGGAAGGCCCTCAAACACAGTGGCCCTAGAGATGGGCTCAAGCATACCAACAATCCGTTTATGAAGCTGATGAAGGACAGAAATTCTGTACTGAAATTAGGAGTTTTATGTGATTTGTTGCCTTGGTCCTCTGGAAAAACAGCTTGAGAACATTTTCCCCTGAGTCTGCCCTGTGATTGGATTGGTATGCACCTTGCGGGGATTGATCAATATACCCATACCCTGCAAATTATATGACAAGAATTTACTGTACTAAAGAAGTGTTTGTGCTCTACCAAAAAAACAAACCCACTGTTATCAAGTAAATGCTGACTCATTGTGAGCTTGTCGGGTGGCGTAGAAGTGTCTCTTTGGGTTTCCATGGATGTACATCTTTATGGGAGCAGAAATCCTCCTGCAGTTAGCCTTCTAACCATAACCCAAGTAACCCAT